ACACCCCCTCCTCCTCCACCCCCTCCTCCTCCTCCTCCTCCCCAGAGTCCGGTGTTGCAGTACCTGTACTACCTGGCCCAGGTCCCCATCGCCATGTCCCCCCTGAGCAACAACAGCCTGTTCCTGCAGTACTCCAAGAACCCGCTCAGAGAGTTCCTCCAGAAAGGCCTGCGAGTGTCTCTGTCCACTGACGACCCCATGCAGTTCCACTACACCAAGGTCAGAACCACCAGAACCACCAGAAGCAGAATCATCATATCACCATTTATTCTCCTTTAATATCTCAATCACTAAAATCACTGACAACAGCAGATATGTAAGAGTCCACAGACATCTGGGCAACGAAACATGTCATCAGTATTATACACAACATGTGGTGCAGGACAGGACCTCACTTAGTGAAACATGATCCAGCACACAGTAGTTGACTCTTCATCAGTTAATCCATTAATCTGCTAATTATTCTTTCAGTTTATCGTTTTATTTTTGTCCATGAAATGTCGAAGAGTGAATAAATGGATGGACTAATACTTCAGCTCCAACAGCAGGGCACATAGAAATACATGACTCTCATATAAGTCAGTCAAAGATGTCTGCTTTCAAAGTGAAACATATTTTACACCAGTTCATAAAATGTACATTAAACCTAAAATCAAATGTTCCTTTAACCCTTCAGGAGGCCTTGATGGAGGAGTATGCCATCGCAGCCCAGCTGTGGAAGCTGAGCACCTGTGATCTGTGTGAGATCGCCAGAAACAGTGTGTTACAGAGCGGACTCTCTCATCAGGTACAGTCTCACCTTCTGCTTTTATCTCACTGTGAACAGGTGAAGAAAGGCACTGTTACACATCACATCACATTCAGGCAGGTTTGACAAGAGTAAAAAGAGACTTAGCCCCAAAGAAAGGTTTAAAACGATGCTTTCACAACACTAACTTAGTTTCAGAGTGCCACCAAGCGCTCCCATCAATACTGCAACGTGATTGGCTGATATTATTACTGGTTAAGCTATAGGGCTCAAAAGGGCACATAACTTCACAATGCATTGTGTGTAACCAGCGCCATTTTTACGGGCAAATTGTTTTGTTTACATTGCGTTGCGCCGGGAGAGAGACATGAAGCGAGAGATTTAAATGGACCAGACAAAGGAAAAGTGTGTCAGACGGTACCAAGACAAGCTGGAGCCTGTTCCAAAATCCAGAAAATAGGTGGAGTGGATCCGTTTGAGCACGGAGACTGGACTGGACTGAAGCTGAGCTTGTCCTCTATCTCATCAACGGTATAAGTTACTATACTGGCGACGGATTTAGGAATGCCAAATCTTTAAGGGCTCATGGGCAAGTAAACTTTGGGTGGGTGCAGGACCTCCGAATTTTACGCCTTAAAGAGAAGACTGTCGTCATTTCAGAGGTATGTAAACTTTACAAGCCTCACTGTGTCCCACCTCCATGTGGTGCTGCCTGTTTGCTCGCTCAGGTTTTGACTAACATATCTTGGTGTCTGCTGGACCAATTTATTTCAAACAAAAAATACTTTGAAGCCTGAAATCCACTCTGTATTTATGTGGAAAATATGTATGGGCTTCTCTGTTATTTATTTCAGAATTAGGGCATTTTCACACCATAAATCTCTAACTCTCCATCGTCATACATGGGTGGGCACAACATGGAGTTTATCTTTATTTTTAACTTTCACTTCTTAAAGTTTCTTCTTCTTCGATTGTGGCAGTTAATGACACAGCAAGTCTGCACCATTGTCAAACGATTGTTACTTTTAAAATGCTAAAACAACAACAACAGAACACAAGCGTAGCGTCGCCAAACGTAAACAACTTTCCAATTGCCTGCAAAGCCCACAATGCATCGCGGTTTTTCTACCTCCGCAATGTCACCCTTTTGAGCCCTATTATTAAAGCAGACAATAGGGGGAAGGGGTGTGGGGGAGGTCCTGGTGATGGAGATGGGTCCAAACACTGGAGGTGGGGTCTGTGGCTGGAGGTCTGCAGCCAGACCCTTCTCTGGTCTCCTCAACTGTGTGAGTGAGTTAAAGCTGATACCAACAGGCTGACAGACATTTGACAGCTGATAATAAACCTGTCAGTGCTCTCTGCTGGACGAACTGTTTACTGATGACACTGTTTATAAATGGCCCCAAATATCTTTTGGCACACGAGAGTTTCCTCTCTTGCCACTGCAGATATATTAAAGCCGGTAACGACCCATTTGAATTTTTCAAACTACACTGAGTACATGTTATTAGCCCCACCTGTATTATAATGATAAGCACTTCCTCTTTTGTACAATCGCAGCCTCAGGTATCTCACGGTCCATAAAAGTCTCGTCACATCACTGTCATAAATCCAACTGTTTATGGAACGGTCCAACGAAACCTTGTCCTGCAGCTCATATTGCTACTGACTCCTCAAACAGATTAAACTCATACCGTCAGGCTGTAAACTGACCAGCCTGTCCACACAGAGAAAGGTCAACGATCCAACCACATGATCAGAACTCCATGCTGAGGTCACTCTGCTCCTCTGGACAAAAAAAACAACCTGCCAAATACTGACAAGATTTCCACATTTATAAAATATCTGCTCTCCATCTTTCACCCTTCAGGAGAAGAAACACTTCATTGGCTCCAACTATCTACAGGACGGACCGGAGGGCAACGATATCCGGCGAACAAACGTGGCACAGATCCGCATGGCCTACCGCTACGAGACGCTGTGCAATGAGCTCAGTTTTCTGGTGGACGCCATGAAGACGGATGTTGGCACTAACCCACCTGAGTGATTTGCCACAGCAGCACACACTGTGCCTGAATACATCCTCAGGGATAAACAGGTTACATGGCACATACTGTTGTTTTTTTTAACGTATTCTTATAAACCATTGCGACAGATTTTTTTTTAAAAAGGATTTCTGAGTATTTTATGTTGACCTTCTTGATTTTTAGACCTTATCTGATGATGCTGTTTCTATGAACTCTGGTGATCACTGTGTGCCTCATGTTAATGTCAAAGAAGTTTATTTTCCTCTGACGGGTGGAAAGTGCACTTGCATATTTGGATATATAGAAGAGCATGAGCCACAAAACCATATTTAAAATGGACACATAGATGTTTTTTGTTTGTTTGTTTATTTTTTGTTTTTTACTGAAAAGGGGTTCTTAGATTTGCAAAGCTGTCACTGCTTGGTGGACGTTTTCTGTCACGTGTATTTATGCATGTTACACAGGCCTTTATCAGAATTATAGGTCTGAGATGAAACTTAGAAAAAAAAGAAAATAATCCTTTTTGATGACTGATTCAACTGCATGATTTTGTCAGAAGTAAGAAGGAAGTGTCGATGAGTACTCAAGTGCTGTGAGAGACAAAACTGTTGTACTACCAACTGTGAAAAGACTAACTGATTATAATTATTTTTTATGTTTGTCATTTTTCATATGTAAATAAAGGCTGCAGAACAGTCGATGATGATTTTGGAAAGTTTTTTTTTTTTTAAACTTGAGTATTTTTCATTTAAAATTTGTTGAAAGTCAAGTGAGCAGAACTTCTCAAAACCTAAAAACATGCCCTCATCATTGGAGACACCTGCTTTAATGTTAGTGAGTTATCTGCTGTCAGACCTTATTTTTTGTTCATGAATGCATCACATAATAAATACACTTTATGGCCACCTGTAATTATGGATTTCTAGAAGAACAAAATGGAGGTTAAATATAGACTACTGCATTTGGACCAGAGAGAGAAACAACTCATCAGCTGGTGGTGCTGAGACATTTCTTAATTCTTCTTTGCAATCTTAATTCAACATGGTGTATCATAGGAATCTTTCTTAACATAGGCTTTAACGCATTCAGGCTCAGAAAACAGATAACCTACATGTGAATGGCTTTGTTTTTAAAAAAAATCAAATGATGAATTGAGCTGGTGTTTATATTACATGTCGTGTGTGTCCTTTTTCTTTTTTGCTATGGACCCTCTCGTGAGTCCAAAATCATTTTTAATAATAAAATAATAATTACACAGGTTGTAACAGGAGGTAAATTATATGTTGGTGTATGTAAAGAGAAGGCTTTGCTATTAGCTCATAGTCGATGTTAGGGTGTCACTAGTTAGGCTACGTGTAACTAGATTACTAAATATAATCAATGTTGTAATGTAATGTGATGTAATGTTACTGAAAAAAGAATACATACTTATTTAGTTACTACTCAAAACGTTGGGGATTACAAAGGAGTTACATCTGAGTATTCTTTTCAGTAAAAAGTATAACGTTCATTTTGTTGTTTTCCATCTTCTCACCATGGTGTAATGTTACAGACATTTGTCAGCTTTGTTGCCCAAACATTTGTAAAAAAACAAAAAACAAAAAAAAAAAACAAAGTGTTGGGAAGGGTTACTGATCAAGTGTAATAAGTTACATTACTTTGATGAAGTAATTAAAACAGTTACATTACTTTTACATTTTTAACAGGGTAAATAGTAATCTATAACTTCTATCATTATAGCATCTATACATTTTTTGAAATTTAATTCTTCTAAAACAACAAACATATTATAAATAACATTACCTTCAGTCCATATAACCAACTCTGATAGTCACTGACTGTAACGTTAGCTTCAGTTTCATTATGGTCCAAAGTTACTGGAGTTTAATGTCCAAACGTTTAATTAGCCAACATGCTGAGCTAATGTGACGCACATGCTAACGTAGCTAATGCTAATGTAATGTAAATGGTAGGGAGTTAATGCTAACGTTATCATAGGAAACCTGTAAGATACTGTAAAACAATGCATTTGTCATTGTGAACAAGCTACAGATCAATTAGCAAAGAGAACATCCGTCCCGCCGCCATGACATCATCACGCCTTGTCCTCAGGTGTTTTACCTGACTGGCGGTCTTTAGCAGTTAGCTTAGCTTTAGCTTTGATCCAGCCATTACAGCTCGGCGTCATACTGCGACACAGGATAAAATAAATCATACAAACTCACCGGAGATGATGTGAAGTCCTCTGCGGTACACCCAGAGCTGTTAGGCGGTCTCTTGTCACATCCATAGCTCGGTGTAAAGTCCTGAGCGGCCGGTGCTTTCTTTTTAGTCTGTCGGACAGGAGAATCAAAGATGGCGGATAGCTTCTCCCTCCCTCCGCCGCCATGTTCCCCCGCGGTCAGCTGCTACTGTTGGCCATAAATGTTTTGACAACAGCCTAACATTTAAATGTTTAATGTTTCTCTTTTAAAACACCTAACTGAGTTTAAAACTAAAATCTCCAGCGGGCTCTCTGACTCAGTTACACCCGGTGTTGGTGGCAGGAGGTCGGTCAGCTCACCTCCAGGCCCTCCTGTTAGTGAAGGTTCACTGAGGGACCATCATTAAGATCAGACACCGAAGTTTGGAGGCGTCTGATTCTAATGTAAATATTTATTCCAACTCATTTTAGCATTTTATTCAGATGAACATTTAGTTGTTTTTTTAATTGTTTGTTTTCTTGCAGGATATCTTTATGCTGAATTACCCACATTCAGAGTCAGAGATCAGCACCAGCAAAATACTGGTAAAATATGCAAGTAGCAGCTGGATTAGCTTCACTAACCGCCCAAAAAATATATATATATATATATTTTTTTTTTTTAAAAATTGTAGTCTACTGAGTGGATGGTAGGTTTTGGAATCCAGCAACTAGTGACTGGTGAAAAAAAAAAGTCAATTTCCAACCCTGTACACAAGGGTAGAAATTATATTATTATATTTATTTATAAAAAATAAATAAGTAAATAAAATGCAATAAATATTTTTCATAGAAAATTAAGGTATTTTTACAGCAGCCTCAATATAATGTGATGCAGTGATTCCAAATTTAAAAAAAAAATCACTTTACTGGATTTTAGTGCTTCTTCTCTTTAATAAAAATATTATTTTGTATGTATTGTTTTTCCATTGTTTAAGCACTTAAGTTCCCTCGTCTCAAAGTCAGTTGGTTTTTGAATGTGCTTTTGGTTCGATGTCTTAAGTAAGGTCTGTGCTTCACACAAGCTGAGGAGACTTTCAAGTTTTGTTCTATGACATAAAATATATCAGTAAATACACAACTCGTACATTTTGAAGCGTCTTTATGTCTCATTGGTGAATGCTAACAAGTGGCTTATTGAAAGGACAGAATATTGTTGTGGTGATGTTTAGTCATGTGACCGTGGTGTCTTTGTTCACAGCCTAACTTTTGCTTTTTACCTCTAGTGAATGCATTTAGGCTTCAAAAAGTGGTGTCAACATGTAGCCTAAAGATTGTTGTACACTAGACACATGGGCACATCCTGATTTTTGATTGTTCCCTGACATAGTGTAAAATGCAGTAACACAGTGTCTCACATGATCCTTTGTGTGTTTTTAATGGAGATGGATTAAAAGCTTTTAATGATCAGTAACACAACTTGTTTCTAAATTAATTAAAGCGATAACAGATCATTAAGAATGTTCCCTAAATTAACTGAAGAGATTAAAGATCCATTCATCTTTTAATCCAACATAACACAAAATAATAAAGTGCAAAAAGTGAGTATCTCTTTATTAAGGAGAATACAGTACGAATCCATTCAGCTTTAATACACCTTCCATTCAGCAAATTTACACAGCGACTTTGTGAATCAGAAGCTTTACAGTAATCTATTGAACATATTCTCATTCTTTAATATTACAACTTTGTTTTATACATTTTTAACTGGACCAGGCAGTAATGAAGAAGAAAGAAAAGTCTCTTAATGCTGCTCATTTCTTTGCAGTGCTGCTGTTTAAGTTTTACAGTTTATGATAATAATTTTCACCACAGAGATGAAATCATCTGTAGGTTAAATGCTCGAACACCAAAAAAGCTACGGCGAGGTTTCAAAGTGCGATTTGTCAGCATCACAACCAGAAATGACTTTTGATCAAATTAAAATTCACGTTTATGGTCTGTTAAATAAACAGAAATCAAATGTCTATGACTGCTCTGTAAAATGAATAATCATATATCATGTAAATCATTGTGTTTCATATCGTCTCATATTTGGAGGAAAATGTAAAATTATCTAAATGTGATCTGATGCAAAACTGATGAACTCGCTGAATGTCACAACAAAACACTAAGTTATAGTTCCATATCTTTACATCTTTAATTAATGTATTAGATTTCAGTAAATAGAGATTTATCACTCTAATGAAAACTAAGGTGAATATTTTCACATTTTTTTAAATACTTCAGTGTGAATCCGGACCTCATTAATCACAACCATCGTTTCTCTTAAAGTGCTGCCTGTGATTTATGTGACCTGGAAACTCAGCAAGAAATACTTATTTAAAATAAAACTGTGTGGTTTTAAATTCTTCGTTACTTTAATTATACAAAAGTAGATTTGTAACTGAAAAGCTGCCTAACTCAATCAGCTGTGTTTAACTGTCGGCATGACGACAGAGCAGAGCAAAGACGCGACTGGTCGTTCTGGGAGTGTAAACTACACTAATTACACTTATACAGCAATCAGATTAAAATAACCATAACAAAATTATGGTAAATTAAAAAATATATATGTACAAAGTAAAACAAGATGAGAAAAACAGAGACGACTAATAGTGGTTATTTCCAACAATAGAGACACAACAGCAAGCCGAGTCATTTAAAATTATATAAAACTATTTAGTTCTGTTCACTCACAGACCATCACCAGTCACTGTGTCGCGTCTGACCTGGATCAGAATTTCAGTTCATCACAGGGTCACATGACACGGCTCAGACGGCGTGTCGTGTGGGATATAAACATGCAGGGTTACATTGCACAGACGACAGAACAGCATTACAGGTGGGAACAAGTTCAGTTTTACGCAACGCTGTGTCTTAGATTTGCACTTTAAGTTCAACATTTTGGGAAAACGCATTTGTTTCCAGGCGTAGACAAGAAGATCGACTCCACTCTCACTTCTGTCTGGTAAATATGAGTCCAGTCAGTTAGCTTAGCACAAAGACTGGAAACCGGAGGAAACTGTTAGCCCAGCTCTGTCAAAGCAAGACAATAATTTACACTTTACATCTGCCTCTATAACCACTCCAAAGACAAAGTACACAAACAAACATATAATGTGTGAGTTTTGTCATGATTGGATGAAGCCAAGTCAGCTCCCCCCATCTCCAGCCTTTATGCTAAGCTCAGCTAACTGCAGCTTCATATTTACTGTACAAACAAGAAAGTGAATCAGGGTAGTTTCCCCAAAACATTGAACTGTTCATTTAAATTCTTTAAAACTTTGAATATGTGAGTCAAACTTATTAAACCCTCTCTGAATACGAGGGCTGACCTTGGTTCAGCTCCTCTGTCTCAGCTTCTGTCCCATTTATATCAACATGACAGGATCAGGATCAGAGTCCTGCGTCAGGTCGGGGACCTGCCAGGAAGTGTCCCGCAAAGACAGGTGATGTGCAGGTGGTATTTTGGCGTTGTTTTATTTCCAGGTTCAGTTGCGGATAAAAAAAAACAAAAAAACATAGCTGTTGGATTACAGGTGTTGGACGATAAATATATTAAAATTAAATAATGTCATGTAATGTTTAATGTTTTATTCGTCTGACTGCTGAATCTGTGTGTCGGCTCGTCTGCTGCACCACCTGGAAAATGAGGCTCAGTTCAATCAGGTGTGTTACTAACTGTGTAGATGTGCTGCTCAATATTATCAGAATAAGCAAAAAATATTCTTTAAACTGTATTTATTTGATTACCTTCATATTAAAGAATATTATCTTGAGTTTCACATGTATAAAGGATCCCAGACCGATGTCTTAAATATGCTGCCTGACCAAACAGTGCATGGTTATTATAAGATTTGTGTTTTTTGGGTCGGGCCGCAGCTCTTGTGTTGACGGGTCACGTTGTGTTAAGGACCTTATGGGTCATATCAACAGGTCGCAGATGCAGTATTGCACGTCGTGGTGCCAGTTCAGGAGCAGGTCTTAAAAATCAGACCTGTGCAGAACTCTGATCTGGATCCCTGTCATAAAGTGCCTGATTAATCCCAACACACACAGGTGTCTGACTTCAAGTTAAATTAACCCCTAATATTACTGTAAAACCTTTCAGTGTACTTTCTGTTACTCTGTGTGTTAAATTAATATTTTATTATTTATTTTATTATATTACAGATGCTGAATTTTCTCTTCAGACACACAGATCCCATGAAGCTTCACATCTACAGTTACTGGGGTTACACAGAGCATCCTGGGAGTTTTTTTGGGACTTAAAAGAGACAAGGTTTCATTTTCTGAACCTGTGGCTGAGAACACAACGAGCAGGAAACTGCTGGTTTCTTCTGCATCGTTAGCTTTTTAGGAAAAATCTCCTCCTCAGTGAAAGTGACATTTTGTGTTGCAGTGTGTAGAGTCTACTTGGTGCGGGTCGATTTCTCTCCTCGTCTAATTGGCTCAGCGTGCCGTCTGTGTTAAGGCCTGTGTGGGTGGCCCGCCTCATCAGCCAAGTTGAGGATGTAGCCAGCTATGTCGTCCTCTGTGGGGAAATCAGACATTACCCACGACTCGTTGGCAGCGGTCACTTGCAGGCGACATATCGGACAGTTCCGGCTCTGCCCGCTCCTGCAGGAACACCAGAGAGTGTAATCATTACTGTTAGTGTGTGTGTGTTCATAACATGGGTGGCTGAAACGTCTCCGTGAAAACTTTGAATGATTTACAAAGCGCAAGAAGAATTATTTTAACTGGTTCGATCTTTAATCCATCACCTCACCATTTATCAATGCACTTCTGACAGAAGCTGTGAGCACAGGGCAGAATGAGGTCGGCCTTCCCGTCCATGCAGATGCAGCACTCCTCTTCATCGGTCAGCTGCTTCACTCTGCACAGGCACACCAACAGAAAGACATCAAACTGTCCTCTAAGGAGGAATGTGTCACTGCCCCCGCAATGTCATTTTGGTGTGACAGGCCTGATGCTGGATGAGTCTCAATGGCTTTCAATCAAAGAAAAATCTCCCTCAGTGTTATGAAATGCATGAGAATGTAAAAAAGATGCCGTCAGCCTCCACAGCTCCTCCTATAGATGGGAATCTATCCAGAGGGATAAAGTGTCACTCTGCTGCAAGATAACCTATAAAATCCATCATTTCAGCAGCATGTGGGGCATTTAACAACCTTTTCCTGTTGTCCAGCAGCACCAACACCCGCCGTGCTGTGAGTCAGAAAAACTTTACATTTTACACAAACCAACATTCAGTGACTTTTTGGCCTCCAGGAAGCTGAAGCTGAAAACACAACGCTGACTAATTATCCCCTGACACCTGCAGCACAGAGCGGACTGTCACTACAGAGAGCAGTTAGCATTAGCATAGTCAAAGTTCTGACAGTAAACATGGTGTAATGTGCAGTTTATGGATGTAAACCAACCCTGGAGCTTCCTCACACTGTCTGCCCAAAACCCCATCACAGCAGATACTGTGTGTTTCACAGACACTAACACTGTGTCATCCACCGCCAGTTAGCCTACAAGCTAACAAACAATATTAATGAAAGATGCTAACAACACTTAGCATAATGATACGGCTGCTAG